TCCAACAAAATAATTCTCCAACTGAATACAACAGCACATTTAAAGGATCATTTATAATGAAAAAATGGGATTTATTCCCAAGATTCAAGTATGGTTCAACATACTCAAATATGTAAGTTTCATATACATTAGCAAAATAAAGAGCAAAGGCCATACAATGATCTCAATAGATGCAGAAAAAGCATTTGACAATAGTGAACATTCTTTCATGACAAAAATGCTCAAGGAATTATCTGAACACATTGAAGGCCACGCATGATGATACCTCAGCTATTTCATACTCAACGCCAAAAACTCAGAAGCTTTTGTTTTAAGATCAGGTGAAGAACAAGGATGCTTACTGTTACCACTTCTATGCAACATCAGTACTAGAAGTCTTAGCCAGAGTAATTAAGCAAGAAAAAGAAATAAAAATATTCAAATAATAAATGAAAAAGTGAAATTGTCTGTTTGCTGATAGCATGATATTATAGAACACTTTAAAGTTTGCAAAAATGTGCATTTAAAAATGATAGAATGGATGAACAAATTCAGTGAAGTCACAGGATACAAAATCAACACATAAAAATAAGGCATTATAATAATTTTATGTGTGAATCCTAGTTTTTTAAGGAATATATTATGAGAAACACTGAAAATTAGAATCAAACTTAACAGGCCATGATTCAACCAATGTGAACTCCAACTGTAGGGTGTCTCTTAAATGAAGTAAAATAGTTTTGGCAGGGCGATGCCCCTTCTATTTTACCTAAATCAACAAATGAAAAGAAGCATTTCTTTTTTGCAGTGGAAGGATGCTTTGGTTTAAAAGTCAATTTGTTTTGTCAAATTTAAGGTAGCTATCAGATAATTCCCATGATAATGTTCTTTTTCACTCTCTTCTATTTGCTAACTTCTATCTTTCAAGTCTCATTTGAAAAGCTGCCTGTTCAAAGAATCCTCCTGAGATCAGGTTATGTCATGAGCAACCTAGGCTTTGCCTGTTTCTCAAGTTGGTGGTGTCATTTTCTGTATAGTTCACCTTTTTTTCCCCCCAGAAACCTTTTACTTAAGACATACAAACTTCATGCATTTCATAAATACAGCTTTAGGAATACAGTGATTGTTCTTACCCTACCTACCCTTCCACCCTTCTTCTTCCTCCCTCTCCTATTCCCATTCTTATTTTTTACTAAGATCTATTTTCAATTAACTTTATACACATATGATTAACTCTATACTAAGTAAAGAGTTCAACAAATAGTATGAAAAAAAAATACAAATCTATTCCTCAGCAGTCCAGACCAGGCTGTTCAAAGCCATCACATTTCAAAGTGTCAATTTCACTTCTAGATTTCACCTCCTTATCCCTGATGCATTTCTTTGCTCAAGACTGATTGCAAGTATCTGAGGAAACATTCCATTTATGCTTCTCACTAGCTTTTTCTTTACACTGTTTTAATTTTTAAAATATGAAATTGTCAGATATACCTTTTCTTTTAATTGTAAACTATGTAACTGACAAAAATTGTATATTCAGTATGTACTTTAAATATATTTATTTTTATTTTTAAAAGAGATGGTTGAACAATCCATACTTATATTTCACTTGGTGGAAAGAAAATTAACATATTTTTGAGTTTAAGGAATTCATGGAGTCATAAATCATTTCAAATGAAGAGCATAAATCAGACTTGCAAACTGAAGGTTTGCACAATCTCTCGTTTTGATACCAGTTTAGAGATAAATATTGTTTTTACTAAATAAAATTATTGAACTTCTCTACAATGAAAATTACAAAGCACTAAATAAATAAATAGAAGACATTAAAAAATGGAAAAATCATGTTCATGGATTGGAAGAATCAACATCATCAAAATGGCCATACTACCACAAGCAATTAACAGATTCAATAAGATCTGAATCAAAATACCACTGACATTCTTTGCAGATCTAGAAAAAAATGATTCAAAAATTCATATGGAAACACAAGAAACCCCGAATAGCTAAAACAATCTTATACAACAAAAGCAAAGCCGGGTCATACAGTATCTGATCTCAGTTATAATCAAAATAGCCCTGGCACAAAAACAGGCTTATAGACCAATAGAACAGAAGAGAAACTCCATGAATCAATCCACACATCTACAATCAACTTATCTTTGACAAAGGAGCTAAAATGAATCTCTGGTGCAAAGACAGTCTCTTCAACAATTGATACTGGGGAAACTCGATCTCTGTGTGGGGAAGTATGAAACTAGACCCCTACCTTACACCTTACACAAAAATCCATTCAAAATGGATCAAAGACCTAAATCTAAGACCTGATACCATCAAATCATTAGAGAACATTGAGAAAGCTTTGTAGGAGGACATTGGCATAGGCAAAGACTTCTTGGAAAAGATGTCAGAAGCACATTCAATCAAAGTCAAAATTGACAAGTGAATTTCAATGTTTTTAGAGACATTGTGGACAACACTGTATTTCTTCAAAACTTTTATGTTGCAATTCTAACACCGAGTGCCTGAGAATGTGACTCTACTTGTATACAGAACCTTTGAAAGTATAATTAAGGGTAAATTAGTTTATACTTTAAGTATATAAGGGTGAGACACTGACCCAATATCATCTCTGTCTTTATAAGAAAAGGAAGAGACGCTGGGGCTGCTCACAGAGAAAAAAAAAATCATGTGTGGACACCATAATGAGGCCAGCTGCAGGCCAAACGGCCTCAGGAGAAAACAAATTTGATTGTGGACTTCTCCAGAGATCTTGGGACCTCCATAAATGTGAAATAATGTTTATTTTCTTAAGCCACCAATTCTGTCATATTTTGTTATAGTAGCCCTGTTAGTAGTCTGTTGTAGTAGTCTGTTAGACTAATGCAGTAGGTTAATATTGTTATCTAATATTTAAAAAGATTGAAATTTTGTGAAATGAAAATAAATCCTTACACTTGTGGTTCTCAATTAAGTCACTAGAGACATTTCAATCCAAAAAATATGTGAACCATTATACAACTCCATTGAAAGCAGAAGAATCATTTGTAACCTTACCAATCACTATAATCCAGTTTGTCAAGGTGTAAGGAATTGCAGAAATAAAAAATTATTTAGCTTTTATGTATGAGATTGATTTTTTCCTTTGATCAAATGTTACTGGGGGGTTCCCATATCCTTGATGATTTAATATAACTTGACTCAAATGCTCAAATTCATAGGCAAAGGAAATTTAGTGTCATCTCTCAAAATCTGTAGCTTCTTCTGATTTCCTTTTTCTTCTAATTGCCATACTGCTCCATCAGCCTCCTGCATCAACCGAGCAGATTTAAGCATCCCACAAACCCACTCGCCTCACACCTGTTCATTAGAGCTCAGAGTATAATCTTATCCCTCACCAAATCCAGCTACACATAGTGTTTCATGGTATTTCTAGTTGTATTGAAGGATTTTTCAGGACTATGGGAATATAAGTGTTCAGGAGACCTCATATATGATGATGAGGGATGTGGATTATGATGACATTTAGAATACTACTGACTTTAAGAACACTACTTATTTTTCTAGGAACTTAGGAATGTCTGAATATCTTTGTAACGTTCAAGCTCCAGGAAGATGGCTCATTTGCACTGATAACTGATTTGCATCATGATTTTGATTTTGATCTTCTCGCAAGCTATTTAACATTTGAAGGATTCTCCCAAAAAGCCAACTAACTCCTAGGTTTTTATTTATTTATCTTCAATTTTAATGTGCATATGCATGCATTATTTTAAACACACAATAGTAATTGTACATTTTAAACTTGTTTTTAGTATTTCTTTTTTACTTAGCATCTTATTTTGAACATTAGCAGCTGCATTATTACATTATAATGTATTTATAATAGTTTAAAATATCAAATATTTCATAATTTATAAATTATTCTCATTTAATTTAGTATATTGGCTGTATCCAATTTTTCACAGTTAAAAATGCCAGTGCTGCAGGCATTCTTGAACATAAATCTTTTCATTTTCTATTTCTTGTAACTGATATCTAAAAGGGGAAATAATAGATCAATATTATAAATTGTTAAAAAATTATATTTTAGTAATTATGAAAGTAATAAATTATTTTCATTAAAATTGATACTTTATTTTATTTCAATAGAATATAAAAAGAATATAATATCAAATAATACTTAATGATCTGTACCTTATTTATTAAAAACTATATCTTGGAGAATTTCTTATACAGACAAATATCTGTTAATACGTATCATCTTAACACGTGTGAGTAATATGCTCAATATACACTTTATGAGTATGTTCAAAATTATTTAGTCAGTCTTTTAAAGGTGGAAGTTGATTGTGTTCCACCAATTTAAAGTATCTATATGCATTCCAATATATGGATATGGTAAAAATTATTTGACCAGTGTTTTATAAGTGGGACTTGGATTTGTTTATATTTTACTACAAAAGTTGCTGCAATTAATATATCTATTATTTTAATATTAACATATTATTAATATAATATTAAAATATTAATATTTTTGATTTTGGCCTATGTGCACAGGTCTCTCTTTTTTGTTTTTAAGGTTTATTTACTTGAAAGGCAGAATTACAGAGAGGGAGATATGGAGAAAGAGAGTCTGATTGGGAAGATTCTCTGGAGAAGAGGTAGTATGACTTGTTATTGATAAACTAAATTTTTAAAAGATCTGGGTGGAGCTCCAAGAACAGCCAGGATAATTTGTCCCTTTCATCAATTAACTCTATTTCTTTTATTAAGTCCACTTCATTCTGTGAATGCTTTTCTAGTGTTTTTTTTTTTTTAAAGAGTGTTAAGATTATAAATGCTTTATTCACATGAGTGTTTTCAAAGCTTGACAGTTTTATAATGAATATTTTTCTAATTGAACTTCAAGCAATCTAAAGGACCAGGAAATGGACAGGGGACAGCTGACAGTGAAAGGCAATTGAGAAATACAAAGCAGGTGTACAATAATGCTCATCATTCTTCTTTTTCTTTTTTGCATCTGTTGACTCCAGACAGGATCCAAAGAAGAAACGACCATCTCTTCTCTGGGTTTTATGGAGACTTACTTTCCACTTCTGTGTTAGCCTCTTAAAGCACTCTGTCAGCTCTAAAAGGACACAGGAAAGGGTGTAGAAGTTCTGGCTAATCACCATGTCTCGGAAACTTACAACACAAGGAAGAATATGATTAAATTTAGGTAAATGTAGTCCTTGCTGCAGGAATTGATGTTGAGGTCCTATGCCTTCACACCGAGCTCACACATCCATTAACAACATCCTTGTGTTTTCCTCCTGCATTAACTTTTCACCAGGGAGGACACAAGGCACTGCACAAGATTGGTGGGTGACTTGGGGTTCAGGATGCCCCATTGTGCATGGATATGTTTTAGCTCACTTCCATTTTGTCATGGACTGTTCCTGAATGTACCCACTTGTAAAATGTAATGAATCACACACTGTCTACCTACTCATGGATACTTTTACAATAATTTACAATAAGTTGTTACAGCACGACTTCACAGTACAAATATGCTGGTATCAAAACTTAAATATGCCCTCCATGTTTTGTGGTTTCTGTTTTTTGGTTTTGGAGTTTTCTTTAATTGAAGGAAGGATAAGATGCAATGCTTTCCTTCCATGTTGGAGTAGAATGAAATGTAACATCGCAGTATTCCCCAAAGGATTTTTTACCCTAAGAAATTTCTGATGTGTCAAATCCTTAAATCTTTGCAGAGTTTACCTTGTATACTCCAGATACATGGATATTATCAAAGCACTCATAAAGTTTGCCATTTTTTTGCTCATCAGTCACTATCAATATTATATCAGTAATATGTTGGGGGAGGGGGATTTTCCAAAGAAGTCCAGAATGTGTGTTCCTTTGGACTATACTGGGAGACAGAGTAGAAGAATCTTTAATGGAAGTGGGAGAATTTGGGTTATTTCAAGGCCACCCCATCAACTTATTATCTAACATTCCCAAGTCAAGGAGACAATATGAGCATCTGCCAACGGCTAAGGAAGTCTTTTATGATTTTACATTTTAGAACCAGGGAAACTGGTTCAGGACTCAGTTTATTACTTAATTTCATACCTTTCTTTCTTTTCTTGAATATTGGTGCAGTTTGCACCCTACATTCATTAGTCCTTGAAAAATATGGGTATTCAGATTTTCTAGTGTATGATTATGTAAGCAACTGATAATAAATCTCTTAAGAAGGGACACCTCACCAATTTATGGACTTTCTGAAATACTATATTGTCTGTACTCATAAGCACTATCTTCTCTTCCATTCACTGTTTCTGATTCTGAAAAGGTCTGGAAATTAAAAGGATCATGACTTTCAATTTAGGTGTCTGATCTCAGATTCTTCCTCATGTATTGTCCAGTACATTTTTTTGAAAACTATTTTTTTTCTGAGCCGTTTTTAAATCTCTGCCTCTAATCCCCTACCAAAACCATTCTGATCCTGCTGTTCAATTTACTAAACAAACATTTCATATAAAAGTTAAGTGTTGTCATAATTGCTAATAGAAGTCCAGTTCTCTACTAATATCCTCTAACCTCAGTCTATATCTGCAGAGGTCAACCATTACTGATCTTAAAACACTACCTTCATATTGTGTTGGTAAATAAAATGATGTCTCACTTGTTTCAAGCGATATGGTCCTCTTGCTTTGTTGCTGTTATTGTCTTCCATAGAAATCCATTCTATAATACTCAATATTTTCAGCTGTTTGATTCTTTCTTCTAGAGTCCATGACTAAAATCCTTGCATCTCTGTTTGATTAATCTTCATTATCTTTGACTTTTTCCCATTTCTGGTCATAGAGATTGATTTTCCTTCATATTTTTCAAAGAAGCCCTATGATATTCACACTTTGGTTTAAGTTATTTATTAAAATAAAGGCCTATATTGCATCTCTTCAACTCATCAGAGGTGTTTAGTTACTGCCACCTGATTTCACAGGCCTTATAAGTATTTATTATATTCATCATCATTCTAATATGAAATATATTTAACAGTTATGTATAGATTAGATGGAAAATACATCCGGGGAAACATGCACTTGGTACAATGGTAGTAATGCATGTCCAAACAATGATAGGCAGAGTGAATGATTTTAAGAATGACTCAGGGATAATTTTATTGCAAACTGATGCATTGCTAGGCATTGAAGCATACATGGAAACCCTTTAGTAGATATGTAGAGAGAAATGTATATTAATATTGATAATACATCTTTCAATGATTTTAATCTGGTAAAGTAGTTACCCAATTTCTTGTCTGTATATGGGTTATCTTTGCCATAGTCTAGACACAAATTCATGAACATCTTAATTACAGAAATCTATAGATAATGAAAAATTGATTTATAACAATTACTCATGAGTTTCATACTGAGTGACTAATAGCAGGATTCGTTTCTGGAATGAAGTGCAGGAAGGAAACGTTTGACAAATGGTTTCTACTGTACATTTTAAGTTTCAGATATAAATGATAATCTGAGGTGGTGATTACAAGATATTTGTTCTAGATTTTGGCAAGCAATCAGAATCCATTAGGATCTTCCAAAATGTTGTAAACTAAAGGTATTGAAGAGGTAAAGTACAGAGCAATATAAAAAGCTCAAGTTTTTTGTTTGTTTGTTTTATACATTTATTGGTTTTGAAAGAGTTACAAGGAGAGATTGAGAGACAGAGAGAGATCCCCCCAGATGGCCACATCTGCCAGGGGTAGGCCACGAAGCCAGGACCTGTGAGCTTCTTCCAGGTCTCCCACGTAGGTAGCAGGGGCACAAGCACTTGGAGCATCTTCTGCTACGTCCCCCAACCCACCCTCGCCATTAGTAGGGAGCTGGATCGGAAGTGGAACAGCTGGGACTTTAACAGGCACCCATATGGTATGACAGCATTGCAGGTGGTGGCTTCACCTGCTATGCCACAATGCTGGTCTTCAACATGCACAAGTTTGATGAATAAGGTTTGGTTGTAATCATACTTCTATTTGGAAGGCCTAAAAAAAGCAAAGAGGAAGGGGCTTTCCCTATTTTTCTTTTAAATTTAACAAAATCTTCTCTTGTATCAAACATGAATGAAAGAACTGAATTCTTAGACAATGCTGCATTTTTGAACTTTCAGAAAGAAAAGTGCATATAAGCTGCTTAAAGCACTCATTTATTAGCTAAACTCGTCAAGACAATTATCACACACACACACACACACACACACAGAATCTATCATTCCCATAAGAGTACTCAGGCAGCCAGCATTGTGGTCTAGCAGGTTAAGCCAGTTCGAGTCCCTGCTGCTCTGCTTCCTAATGAGCCTAAGGAGGCAGCAGAAGATGATCCAAGTGCTTGGGCCCCTCCACCTTCTGAGACACCAGAATGGTAGTGTTCCTGGCTCTTGGCTTGGGTCTGGTCATGACCTGGCTGGCTAGTGCAGCATTTTGGAGACTGGACCAATGGATTGACGATCTCTGTCTCTCCTCCTCCCCTAGTCGCTTTACCTTTCAAATAAATAATTTTTTTAAGAAAAGAATATTTGGAACAATTGCTTTAGCTTTTAAAGAATGGGTCATTTCATTTTATTTTTGAGAATAAAAAGAAGTAAACCAATTAGACAAAAAATAAATTTTTCTAAATGAGATCTGATTTCCAAATTATTTTTGAGACAATAGAAATAAGCAAAGTTTAATTGTAATGGAAATTTGTATAGAAATACTAATACCCCAAGTTAATCAGAAGCAGATGTTCTGCTTTCACTGCTTTTCCAAAATGAGGACAAGATGACAATTGCCGCATAGTAAAAGAATGCTAGGAAATGCAGTATCTTACTAATATTAATTTTACTAACATGCAGATCTTACCACATGTAGACCTTTTATCTAAACTAGGCCTAATTACTATAGTAGCTTGCTAAGTTTGCTTTCCTTTAAGCCATTTCAGAAGCTAATATTCTTGGCCGGCGCCGCGGCTCAATAGGCTAATCCTCCACCTAGTGGCGCCGGCATACCGGGTTCTAGTCCCGGTCGGGGCGCCAGATTCTTTCCTGGTTGCCCCTCTTCCAGGCCAGCTCTCTGCTGTGGCCAGGGAGTGCAGTGGAGGATGGCCCAAGTGCTTGGGCCCTGCATCCCATGGGAGACCAGGAGAAGCACCTGGCTTCTGCCTTCGGATCAGCGCGGTGCGCCGGCCGTGGCGGCCATTGGAGGGTGAACCAACGGCAAAAAAGGAAGACCTTTCTCTCTGTCTCTCTCTCTCACTGTCCACTCTGCCTGTCCAAAAAAAAAAAAAAAAAAAAAAAAAGATGAAGAAGCTAATATTCTTGCAAAATATTGATATTTATTTCCCATCACTTCTTCTTACACCACACTCAGTGATGATTTTCACTGTGCTCTTAATATCCTAGATGGATCTATGAGAATTATATTGGTCACACATTCCACATAGATCAGATTATCATCAATTCTAGATTTTCCTGGGCACCAATTTTCTATTTTGGAGGTGAAGATTTTGTCTTCCTTCTCTTTAATTCCTCCTGGTCTGAATTTTTTCTCTAAAACTATGTAGAACTCATGAATTTATTTGAGTTGTTTTCTAAAATTGCTCCATCATTTAATTTTAAGAAGGAACATAATGTTTGGAGTGAAGTCCCCCTGAAAAGTATAAAAAGATCTGCTTGCTTTAATCAGAGCCTGCACTTTTCTCCTCCTAGTTCTTGTAACCTCACTAGTCCTTTACAACAAATTGGGAAAAGATAAATTAATGGAAACCAATTTAATGAAAAAGTTTTACATAATAAGTCAAATGAGAGAATAAGATGTCCTGACTCTAGCCCTGCACTTAAAGATGTGAAAGAAGTAGCTAGTGAGCACAGTACATTTTCATTCATCATACAGAAGAACAGGCAACACAAAGCCCTTAGTATAACTGCCAAATACTATAAAAAAGTTATGGAGAAACAAGTTATCATTCAAATGTATAAAAGAGTAATTGAGAAGAATTTTAATAAATAAGCTATACTATATTGAGTTTTAATTGCATAAAACATCGTATCAATCACTTTACATGGCAATAACTTGATAATTCAATGAGAAAATTGTGATATTTGATTAAG